TTGTGTTTGTTTTATTTTATTTTTCGTTAATTTTCTTCTTTTTCATAAGATCCAATTTTTAATTTGAATTTTAATTAATTTTCAACAAGCTGAAAACTGTAAATTAATTATTATTATTATAAATTATTACTAATATTAAATTATTAAATTATTATTTTCTATCTCAATTTTGTAAGCGACTTCTTTCACTTCTGCAAACGTATTCTTAAGTTCCTTAAACTAGCAAATTTAAAGGTGATAATATTTTTTCCTGTACTGTATATATATATATAAATTTATATATATAAAAATATACTCATCATAAATTGAATTACTTTATAGTGCGCAATTATTTCATCAGCTTATTGAAGCCTTGGCAACAGAACAGAATCTTGCCTTATTTCAGCTAAGAATTTCACAAGTTTCGCTCATTTTTGTGCAGTTTTTTTTATTGTTTTTTGTTATTGTTGTTGGAAAACGCTGAGTGAGAATTTCGTTTATGTAACCAACTCACCCAGAGTCAAAATGACCTGTTGACAATTAGTCAAGTTTTAGTTCAACTAATTGCATTCTTTCAGCATGAGTTTTGCACAGAAATCAGGTGTTCTGCAAAGAGGGCCTGACTAGTTAGTCATTCACCATATATATATATATATATATATATATATAAATGTTATCAGTGGAAGAAATATTCTGACTGACTACCTTCTCAGCTAATTTACATCATATGGAATTCGATTTGCTTAAAGACAAGTACATCAAATGAATGTATCCATGACACATTACTTTATTTTCTTTTCCAAATCTGATGAAATTTGTCCATTTAGCATTTTTGCAGTTTAGTTAATTATTATCGAAGAAGAGGCTTGTTGGCACGTTTTTGTGAAATACATGCGCATAAAAAGCCTGATTTGAATACATGCTTGACTTTCAGATACCCTCTACGCTAGAAAGTATGCTACGTAAAATTTAACTTATTCTAGAACGATTGGAAGAAGAGTGTCTTAAATATTAGCAGTCATATTGCAGTCATATATCAAAGAGATGTAACAGCTATTTTAATTACAGGGTATCTAAATTATGATATGCACAACTATCCAAATGCTTATATAAAACAGGTACAATAAACAAGTAAGAATGCGCACTCGACCTCGACTACGATATATCCTTTTAATTTGATTGCCATATTTGCGTTTAAACAGCTTTGCACACCCAAATGTAAGCAGGTGTGCAAGTACATCCATTCAACAACAAACTAAGGCTTAGTTTCTTATCCGATCTTGCTGAAAATTGCACAGTTTATCAGTAATCTGTCAAGGTACAATATACATTAACTGTAAGGAGCTGTCTTGATAACTCTGGCCTTTATTGCTATCGCAAATCGATATGTATCGTGGTCAGTTATCGATAAAGCGACAAATCAACTTGATACAAGAACTTGTATGCCAAATCTGTGGTCTGCAGCTGTTATAGTCGCTAAGATCTGCTTGCTTGATCAAGAAGATATATCAGCGATGCATTCAGCTGCCTGTTACATACCGTTGCACTAGTTGATTATACCCGTTGTGCCCAGTTTTACGTGTACACATAATAAGCGGAATATAAAACTAAAGAACTCTGTATTCAGCAAAATTTATGTTTATCTCGCTGCTGCTCAACTGATTTACATAATCAACGAAACGGGCTTTATTTTTGTGCCTTTACTTTATGCCCTGCCCCTGCCGCTGCCCCACCCTGCTCCACCTCTTCCTACTCCACCACCTATTCTTGTTTATTTTTTCTGTATTTTGTTACGCCCGATTTAATGTTGTAGTTGTTGTTGTTGTTGTTGTTGTTGTTGTCTTGCTCTGTGCATTTAATTGAATGCTGATTAAGTTTTTATTCAATGAACCAAACTGCAAACACACACACATTCGCAGATATGAGAGTGCGTATATATATATATATATATATATATATATATATATATATATATATATGTATTCATGGATTAGTCATTTATATTGACAACGTGTTCCCATTTGACTTGGCACATTTCTAAACGTGAATAATTTAATAATGCCTCATTAAGTTAATGAAATTAGTTCAAACAGGCAGCTTGATTGATTGAAAGGCCTCTTTCATCACACACATAACCATTGATGTATATAAATTATCTACAAAAATACGTGTTGATAAATTAGTTGAAAGGTTTTGCTCTCAAAAATCAATCATAACATTTTGCGTCTGTATTTTGCATATGCTTCCAATTTAATTGAATATTGACGTATTTATTTATTTATTTAATGAGAAAATGTGCCTGAAAACAGTTCACAAGAAAAGAATTTCAAATGGAAATATAAAAATTAAAAGAGAGAAACTATAATAAAATGAAGAAAACATATATACAATATATTTTCTTTAGTTAACAAAATCTGTTATCAAAAAAAAAAGAAGAAAACAAAGCAGAAAACACGTTTGCCACAAAAATATCGCTGTTGGCCTGAATCAAATGATAAAAGCGTGGGAATAGATATTTAGTGGAATGGATGATCTCAGTTTTTAATTGTTGACTTAATTTTGGACGCTTCCGTTATGCAAATAGCCGTTAACCAGATCGACAGCTGACTAAGTTGTGCTTATCTTAGCATAGATTTAAAATTTAGTAGTGCCAAAAATCCAACAACAAAAGACCACATTGCAAATTGGAAACTTTTTATTGGAACATAAGGTGGGAAAATTGTGGCCCAAATTGTCACTTTCCCATGGCATATGCAATTTCACACTTCTGGCCAATAAAAATTGTGCGAGAGACAAAGCCAACTTTAAACAGAAGCATGGCTAATGAGTAGTCAGTCGGAGTCGGAGTCGGAGTGGGAAACCTCCTGTGGCAAGACCAACGCAACAAACAACATGTGTGGACGAAGAGATCTCAACAAATGCGAAGAACCCATAAATTATCTCACGAGAAATCCTCAAAAATAGAAAATGTGTCAATGTAAACAAAATGCGAGAGTTCGCCAAAGGGTCGCAAAGGTCTTGGCATCTCTGCTGATGTGTCTGTGTCTCTGTCTGTGGCATGCAACGCACTCGTTAAGTTGAGTCTGGCACCAACCAATAAACCGATTCTAGTGCTTGCTACCTGAACTGAACTACCTGCTGCCGCTGCGACTGCGGCTGGCACTAATGGCTAATGGCCGGCAGCGGTCAGCGGACATAAATCCATAACAAAAAAAAAGAGCAGAAGAAGAAATAATTAAATTGCAATTATGTGCAAACAATGCCAAATCCGGAGATTCGGAAAAAGTTAATTACACGACAATAAAGAGCAGAAGCAGCAAACAGCAAACAGCAACAACAAGAACAGCAGCAGCAGCAGGGCTTGGCATAGCCACACACACACACATATATACATACATACATACATCCGCCTGACTCTGCTCACTCTCTCTGCTATTCTCTCGCTCTTTGCTTTTTTTGTGCTCTTTTTGGCTTTTGCTTGGCGAGAGTCTCGCGACTTAAGCTGACATTAATGTGCATTTGAATGAGCGGCTTCTGCTCGTCTCTTAATCGGTTTGTTTGACAGATTCCTTCGGCTCGACGACGACGACGACGACGAAGACGACACGTCGTCCACATAATCATTAGCAACTAGTCTGCGTGCACTTTGATCGCCATTTACCGATTTGATAAACATTATGAGTGCCCCTCTCTCTCTCTCGCTCTCTCTCTTCCTGTCGTCCACTAATGAAGATGGGCACACACACTCACACACACTCACACACACAGACTCGAACACATTAGCTATGGTCTGCTTACAAATCACTTAGTCTGGCCCCCTTTATTAAAAAGAGAGGCAGACACATAAGCCAACTTGACAAATCGCGATAAGATACGCTCGTCGAATAATTGAAAAAAAGACGACAAACATGGTTAAATGGAAAGTGATGTAATTAGAGTTATGCACATACATACAAATATTTGATAACTTCGATTTTTGGTAAATAATGTTTACAATGTGAATGAAATTTGCTCTTTAATTAATGAATTGTTTAAGCTCTTTTGCAAATTGTGTCTAAATATGTTTATATTAAAAAAAACACAACTATTACAAACATTTAAGAATGACAATTAAACATTTTAGAATATTCTTCTTTTTTTTTGGTTATGATCATTTTTGATATTTAAATGTAAGCTTTTAAGTACATAATTCTCTATCTGTTCCTTATCTTTATCTTTATCTTTATCTATATATATCATATATTTCACGCTTCCATAATCTTAAATCCAATAACTGGAATATAATTCAGGAATTCAATTGTTAGATTTAATTAGAAATTACAATCTTAACTTGATACAATATGAGAAGAACCCTATTAGAAATATATCATATATTTCACGCTTCTAAGCCTAATGGCTTGGAATTCAATTACTTTACTTAGAGCTATAATTGGATTAATCTATAATAGAAGAAAATCCCCCATGCTTAATATCTTCCGCTCTTTCGTTGTCTTCCTCTTTCGCTCTCTCTCTCTCTCTTTCCCTTCTTCTATCTTTCTCTTTTCTTCACGCTTGCACAATCTTGAATCTAATAACTTGAATTCAATTCACAAAATTACTTTGATTGCCATTTGGAGCTACAATTAGATCAAATAAGCGAAAAAGTCCCCTAATTTATATCTTTCGCTCTCCCTTACTCTATCTATCTCTCTCTCTCTCTCTCTCTCTCTATCTATTTGTATTTTGAATCTAATAATTGGAAGTCAATGCAGGAAAATTCAATTACTTAGTTGCCAGTTGGAACTTTAATTAGATCAAATGCCAGCAAATGCCAGCTAAAATGTTAGTAAAGCAGGTCAATTGCCCGAGTCGGGGACTGGGCCAAGTGGGTTGACCAAGTTAACACCGGTGAGTGACAGCTGTTGGTTTCACTGGGTTCACTGGCAAGTTTAATTAGATCTGCATATCGAATGTGAATCGGTTTCACTACAAATTTACTTGGTCAAGTTCGATTCGAGTCTTTGACAGTGCCGGGATGCATTTGGCGCTGCTCTCCACATGGATCTCCCTGGCGATGGCTGAGAAGAGCTGGACTCATCTAATGAATCCCCTGCCCCTGGACAGCTACCAGGCTGAGCTGAAGCTGCTGCTCGAGCGGCTGTTGTGGCGGGCACAGGTGGAGCGTTGCATCGCTGTCATCACCGATGAACTGCACTCGGCCATCTACGATCGGGCGTATTTCGAGGCAGTCGATCGAGGCTTCCCCGCCAGCTTTGTGGTGCGTGTCAACGCGAGCGACAATCTCCGCCAGCCACCCAAACAATTGGAGCTGCTGCTGCGCGCCATCAAGTCCAGTGATTGTGATCTGCATGTGATCACTCTGCTCAATGGGTGGCAGGTGAAACAGTTGCTGCAGTTTGTCTACGAGTCGCGTTCGCTGAACATGCAACGCAAGTTTCTGCTGCTGCACGATGTGAGGCTGCTCTCCGACGATATGTTGCATGTGTGGAGTGTCTTTGTGAACGCCGTCTTCCTCAAGCGGCAGCCCGACAACAGGTGACAACTCTGCTCAAAATCTCAGACTCTTTCTGAATAAGTTTTGCTTATGTTTATGGTTTTTATACAAAACAGTTTGGAAAATATTTAAAAATATTTTTAAAATCTACTTACTTTTTATAAGTAATCAAAATAAATAAAATTATCGTTTATTGATTGCTGATCTCTTTTTATAATTAAAATGTTTGTTTTTCGCTGACTCCAGTTCAATCTGTATTAGGATCAGGATTTACAGAAGCTGAAGTCAGCGAACAACATATTGAAATAATATTAATTAAAATATAAAATTATAATTATTATAATTATTTTAAAAATTGCAAGAATGTAATTGGAATATTTAACATAATAATAATTAATTATTTGAATATTAATGTAGAGATTGTAGAGATAAAATACTGTTTTTACTTGGATTTAAACATCGAGTTTTCTTCTATATCTAATTAATTTGATTACCTTATGCAGCTATAGCATCTCAACCATTGCCTATCCGGGCATTTTGAGCGGAGTTGTGGTCGTCAAACAGCTGGACAATTGGAGAACTGATAAACGCATTGATCCCATTCACATTTTTGGGGATAAGACACGAAATTTGAATGGTGAGCGAAGAAACTAACTTCAATATTGAAATGCTATAAATCGGAAATGGTTTTTTAGTTAGATTTATTTAGATTGATGTATATCTAGTTATATTCCTACAGTCTTTGATTAAACTTCCTTGACAGGTGCTCAACTACCAGTTGCCCTGGCTGAGCACATGCCGATGGTGCTGCCGAATGGATCCACAAGTGGCTACGAGGGCGTTGAGGTGGAGATCATGAATGCTTTGGCCCAAGCCTTAAATTTCCAGCCCCAATATTATGCAATAAATGAGAGTGCTGCTGTCAGCGATTGGGAGCAGCCCCTGCTGGAGAACGAGACCCGCTTGGAGAGGGGACTCATTGGTGAAGTGGTGCGATATATGCTCTAATTACTGCCAGATTAACTTGTCTAATAATACCCACTCGAACAGGCGCAGCACAGTGCCCGCTTTGGCATTGGGGATCTGCATCTGTTCGAGAGTTATGTGCAGCTGGTGGAGCTGAGTGCGGCACACAGTGTGGAATGCCTGACATTCCTTACGCCGGAATCATCCACGGACAACTCGTGGCAGACTTTCATTCTGCCCTTCAGCGGGGCAATGTGGGCGGGCGTGCTCCTCTCCCTGATCGTGGTGGGAACCATTTTCTACATGATTAGCTTCCTCAATGCTTTGCTGCTGGGCGGCAGCAGTCAGGTGGTTTTCTTCCGCTGTCTGCGTCGCAGGCGCGGCATGCAACGGGACTCGCTCAGCTGGCGTCGCTTAAGCTTTCGCATTGCGCTGAGCAAACATCGGGCTGGCAGGGGACAGAAGTCGACCAGACCAGGTCGACGGGACATCTTCGATGACTACTCCAATTGCATCTTGCTCACGTACAGCATGCTGCTGTATGTGGCACTGCCACGCATGCCCCACAACTGGCCACTGCGCGTGATGACCGGCTGGTATTGGATCTACTGCATCCTGCTGGTGGCCACCTACAGGGCCAGCTTCACGGCCATTCTGGCTAATCCAGCAAAACGGTGAGTCCATAACTCAACTGCAAATTTAACTAGCTAACTCTAAGTCACCTCTAATTTCGCTCAGTGTCACCATTGATACGCTGCAGGATCTGAAGCGAATCAATATTCCAACCGCAACTGGCGCCGCCGAGCATAAGCAGTTTTTTGTGGATGCCACCGATGAGACAGCTCAGGATGTGGGTGCCAGAATGGATATAGTCGATAATATCGCCGATTTGGTAAGCTGACTAATATAAATATATATAATATATGTATATATATTTGATCTGATCCGTTGTAGAAGCAGAGCATTGCTCGTGGCAAGTGCGCCTACTACGACAACGAGTTCTATCTGAGGCAACTGCGTGTGGCAGATGAGGCACGTGGCGTGGGATCCTCCTCTCTGCACATCATGAGGGAATGCGTTGTCCATATGCCCGTCGTGCTGGCTCTGGAGAAGAATTCACCGTTGAAGACCCACGTCGATGACATAATTCAGCGTCTGAGCGAGGGCGGTGAGTGCAAAGCAAAAACAATTTGAACAATTTGGAATACGCTAGTCGAGAGTGCTCGACCAGGAAATATCCTGAAACCAGCTGATAAATACAATACATATTACAATTGCTGATATCAGTTTGTCTCTTGCCGATCTTATTGAAATTCAGACAGTTTATCAATAATTTGGCAAGCAATATTGGAATCAATTGGTAGGCTTTATTATTAAAAATGCGTCCTTTGTTTTTGTTATCGGAGTTTAATGTGTTATCGATAAAATTAACTAAAATTTATCTGTGTATTGTGCTTGAGAACTTATATTTTAAGTTTGAAATCTGTAGCGCTGTAGATGAAGAATATATATAAACTTCTTGAGATCGGAGAACTTTAATACTTTTCATATTTTTTGTAATTTTGTTTGGGGTTACGGTACAAAATACTTATACCAAAAAAAATGTAGAAAAAATACTTCCAGAAAACTATCATAAATATATATCCAGAAAGTAACTTTCAAAATTTAAATACGCCCAAAAATCTTATAAATATTTCCTATTTTTTAATTTACATTTATTTTCTTTATTTTTATTTTAAATTTAATTTAATTCAATTTATTGCCTTTTGTATTTTTTGTGTCGACTTTGACTTTAGTTATCCTTAAATAAATAAAGTATGCCATCTTTCCGCTTTTTCTCGATGCTTGATGGATGCTCTCTTGCAGGTCTCATTGCCAAGTGGCTGAGGGATGTGGTGAAGCGTCTGCCCGCCGAGGAGCAGACCCCGCAGGAGGCGCTAATGAATCTGCACAAGTTCTGGAGCTCCTTTGTGGCACTGGGCATTGGCTACCTGGTGTCGATAGCTGCGATGCTCGCCGAGCGCTGGCATTTCAAATATATTGTGATGCGGCATCCATTATACGATGTGTATAATCCCAGTTTATACTATAATTTTAAGCGCCTCCATCCAGATGAATAGCGCAACAATTAGTGGCAGATTTAGTAAAGATATTTGATATTTGTATAAGCACATTAATATAATAAACACATTGTTCTTCGCCCACAAAAAGAAATGACAAATGGATTTGTCAGCTGACGCAATCAGCAGACCCCTTAAGGCATACAATATATATATGTATATATATACTTTGCTGGTACTTGGATGATAGAGCATCTGATATAATACCATATATCAATTCGATGCAAATGGCTACCAGTGGCAATGTGGTGAATAAATTTCGAGAGTTTTTCATTTCTTTGCATTCACATTTCGTAAATTATAATTCGCATTGTTTAAGTTGGGGCAGGCACATTAAGCATTATTTGTTTATTGCCGACTTGGCGTCTTGAGCAACCACAAAAAAAAAAAGAGGCCCAAAATGCTGAATACTCGTAAATAATTCGTTCTTTAAGTGCCCAGACTAAACATACACAGACCACAAAATGAATGAACACATTAACAATTCATTAGAAACTGATCAGAACTTGGAGCGAACCACGAGTTCTTCACCCAAGACTCAAGCAACAATATGTTATAAATAAACAATTGCTTGTTGCAATGCTTTCTGAAGTAGCTTTTCTATTTTTTTTGTTGTTGTATTTTTCGTATTTTTTTATAATTGTAAGCACTTCATGGAAATGAGTTTGTTTATCAACTCGAGCAGAATTCACTGGAAGGCTCTTCTATGCTTCAGGTTCAGTCATTTATTCTACTAATATAATTCATATTTTGTAATGTGTTTTTTTTATTTGTATTTTTCTGTTGCTTTTTGCTGCATAAAAAGTAATTAATTCATTTATCAGGCAAATTTCATAACAAACACATTTCATTGTTGTTAATTTCGGGAATTTTTTTTCCCAGATTGTTTTGTTATTTCTTTTGATAAATATTTATGGCTCTTTTATTTGTTTTGTTTTTCTTTTTGCTTTCGTTTTGCCATGTTTGTTGTTGGTTTTGTTGCTGCCATTCTAGCACATTGTGTTTACAATTCTATTTTATTTAATTTAATTAGTTTTGCTTCATTTTACAATGCTTTGTTTTTTGTTGCTCTTTTCTGTTGGGGCCCTCTGCATTTAATTCCCTTTGGCTTAGCCTCTTGTCCGGTCCCAGTTCATAAAATTGCCATTTCTCTCACTGCCCTGCACAGAAATTCCTGTTGTTTTTCTGTTGTTGTTTAGTTTAGTTTTTGTTTGCAGCATTACATAAAATCTCTAATTGCCATTTCCGTTGCCAGTCACACCCACCCAACCCCAACCCCAACCTCAACCCAATCCCACCCATACCACCCACCCCACCAACGAGTACTCCACTTAGCATATCAAAGTGTATGTAAAATGTTTTTGTATTTCGTTGTTCTTGCCCTGTAAAATTCATTTCATTAATAAAATATTTGTAAAGTGAAATTAGGCTGTTTTTTATTAAAAGGGACATTTTTGCATAACCATCGACCGCTGATAGTCATTGTCCTGCCGAATAGGAACCGAGAATATTATAATATTTTTTTGTATATTTTAAAAATACAATATCTGAGCTGAATCCTTGCGCATCCCGGTGAGCCATGTTTCAAACGATTCAAAATAAGAAGGGCATTCTAACCGCTCCTTGCAAGGTATAAAGAATTTTTCGCGTTTGGTATGCTTTCTTCTTCCTTGGGTTCCTCGATTAAACCTTGAATATAGCTCGATAGAGGAAGTATTTGCGATTCTAACACACGATTTGAGCGAGTTAGAGCGATTTTCTTGACAATGTAATTGACTTTCGATTCATGCCTCCGCCTAAAAGTATGCTTTATATTTTTCGACTTTCTGGCCGCAGTTTCCATCAATGATTTAATTGTTCGCCCTAAAAGTGTGCTTTAGTTTTGAGTAGAGTAAAGAATTTTTCCCAACCAATAAAAAACGATTTCAATTTCATTTTCTTTGCATTTATTAAAATATGGTTTTCAATTTGTTATACATCATTTTTCGCATCTTTTGTGCAGCTCTGCCTGCTGCAAAGAAATCAATCTTAAATATCTAAGATTAAAACAAGAAGATATATATATATATGTATACTAAGTCGACAATGGACTTAAATTGGTTTCGTTTTCAGCATTAATATTTGCATTTTATTTTTGCGTCTAGAAATAAAACAACAAGAAACAAATTGTACAATACATTTAAAATTTACAAAAATTTATCAATTATTTAGACGGTTTCAATTTAAAATATATAAATATATATTTGTTTGTGTATATAAATTATTAAAACCACGTTGCTGCTCGCTCTATTTGTGACTTGGAGAGTTCAGTTCCAAGCAGCTGCTAAAATGGACACCGACACCATTTTGTAGTATATTAATTATTTTAGTTGTTGTTTGCAATTATAGATCAATCATCAAATTTAAACGTTAAAAATACTTAAGCATTTCTGGGTCGATTTAAAAGCAAATACCACATAAGTAATCCCTACTCGTTCTCGTACTTATATAAAAAACTACATCTTTGTATAGTATATATATATATATATATATATATATACTTTGTGCACGCATACAAAATCTAGTGTTTATTGAGAGCCTCTCGGACAGAGTCGCAGAAATCAAGCAAATCCGGAACGTATTCAGTTTTTAGCACAGTTTATAATTCAATTCCGTATTCTTAAGGATATCATTTGTAGCACTTTGGTTGCAGTCTACGTTCATATCGGAGTTACTAGACCAGACGCTCTATTCGATAAAGCCGAGCGTGCTCGATTTGAGTATTTCTTAGTTGTTAAGCATAATCTTTAAAATGAGTTCTACATAACTACAAGTACAAACTTGAATCTAGGCGCAGATTTAATATTTCCTGTTCGGAATGCAGTTTCTATGGTATTACTCATTTAAAATCTTATGTAGTATATGCAGGAAAATTCATTTAAAATATTTTGTGTTAGTTGCTTGTTTCAGTTATGGCGTTTTTGGACAGCATCGTAAATAATATTCATCGGACTTTACATATGTATTTATATACTTTGCAATTTACTCATTATTCACTCATTATTTTTATTAAAGACTTCGTTTGATCTTCCAGTTTTTTGTGTGTACTTCAGTTTTGTGTAAACAATAAACAATATGCAAATTCAAAATCATATTATGCATTGAATTAACATTTCGAAAACTCAAAGTTATTACAAAATAATATAGTGGATATAACTAGATCGCATTGCGCTTGCTATGATATACAATATTGTTAATTATAATATATCACTGTTGCTGGTTTAACATGTTGTTGCTGTTGCTGTTGTTGCTGCTGGCGGCCTTATCCGGTGGCCTCTGTTGTTTCTGGCTCGAATACATCGTCCGACTCTTGGCCAACCATATATTCGCCATCCTCGTGCTGCTCCGCATCGTCATCGTAGTCGTCGGGATACTCACCAAACTCCGACGACTCACCAAGCGTCCAGGCATCGTTTTCCATTGAGTTTCTTGGACTGTAGTTTATGCTGCCCGTGAGGGTTATATTGTTGGCCGGTCGCTGGACACTGGAGGCATTGCGAGAGAGAAAAAGATTAAGTTTAGGACTGGTAGAGAATACAAGCAATAATAATATCAGTAAGTGAAATGTATTCAATGATTGTGGTTAATACAAATCGAGTGCTTAACTAGCGACTAACTAAGCGTTTTTTTATTATTAATTGTTGTCTATGTGTGTGTGTGTTAGCGGAGATGTTAGAGCTGTTATCGTGTGTGTCACATGTGGAAAGTGTAAGTAAGTAAGTAAGTAAGTTAGTAATAATAATAACAACTCGTTAGTTTCAAGGTATGTACAAAAACAAGGCAAACACTTGTACAGTTAACAAACAGTTGTTAAAAAACTGATGGCAGTTGTTAAAAATGGTTGTTGAGGGGGGGTTAAGATCGATAATGATACGGTTATGGTTATGCTAAGACTTTGCTTTGTTATGGATGCGTATTTGTCGCACACGAAGCACAGGCGCTTTGAAAGCAGCTCAAGACAAACGGAATAGATATCAATTTGTATATTTTTTACTTTTGTTTTTTTCTTTTTCTTTTTTTTTACAAATTTGAGACAATTGCACAATTGCGAGCAACAACAACAACAGCAACGTATAAAATGAATCAAATGCATAAATGTAGTATGTAACAAACAGTAAAGAGCAACGAGTAACGAGCAACTAGTATCGAGTAGCGAGTAGCGAGTGTCGATTAACGAGTACTCTCTCGTAGTGCAGCAACTTCTCTATTACATTTGGCAACTCGTCGAAAGCGTCGCAATTCGTTGTCGCTGTGTCTGTCGTTGGATCGAAAGGGATTCGTTCGTGTGTGCAACGAATTAATATCCATAAATACAATCTCGTTGCTTTGTCTTTGGGGTTGGGGGCGGGGCGGGGTGGATTGGTTCACATTGATTTGTTGAGTATTTAGCACTGGAATTAACTTCTAGTGTCACAATCAAGATTAATTACGTAGTTAGGAACCGGAGAATTCGTTGGATTTGGCCTGCTGCCTTGCACCGCACCATGTTAAATATATAGTTTTCAGTAGAGTGTCTCGAGCAGGAAGATTGCTTTGCTTAATATATGTGTGTGTGTGTGTTTGTGTGTGTGTGGTGTTGTTGGAAAGTAGTAGTCGAATGTTGTTGTTGTTGTTTTCTAGGTTGTTGTTGTTACAGATCGGTCACTAGCACACCATCCCTTGGTCATAATTGTCCACGGCGATAGTGTGAGCGTGATGGTCTACAAATAGCAGATGCAGTTGTGGTTGTGGTTTTTTTGTGTTTTGGTGTTGGATTTGTAGGTGTTCACAGAAATTAAAAGAAAAGAAATCAATTAGCAAAATTAAAAACAGGACGTGAGCTTAAACATCATTAAACTAGTTTCCTACAATTTAATTCTTTGTTGTTTTTTTTTTTAGAGAGCAAAATGATAAGAGGAAGTGAGCTTTAAAGTTTAATTATTGAGCTAAATTCCTACAATTTGTTGTTTTTAAATATTCGGTGTGCCGAGATCATCATCAGCACGGATCACTACAAAGGATTAGATCGTAAGCGTGGTAAATAATTGGTGAGTGTTGCGAGTATGTTTAATTGGCCGATAGACGCACCTTTACCTCTAGCCGCGAAATTACCCACAACCTTAAGCTAATAATAAAAGAATAAAAATAGTAGAAAGAATAGCATATTACGCACAACAGGAATTATTCGAGAAAAAAAATACGTAAATTACAAACATAAGTCGAACTAGTCCAACCAACTCTTTAAGTACTCGTAGATAGTCTAATAATCTACTTACAAACTAGATGAGGTCTTCGGCTATTGATCAATTGGATATTCTAAGTTTATATATATATATATATATATATATTGTTCTATACCTTGCTAAATATATTCCCCAATATCATATAGTTTTGATCTGTTAATTATATAACAAATAACAAATTATGGAACATATATAAAAGTAATGTGGCTATTGATCTGATTGGATACATATTCAATATTATTTAAATTACAAAAGGAAATAAAATAAAATAACTGAAAAATGATTGAATTTGTTTCTATTTGAAGAAGAACTAAAAACAGCATTCACAAATTGTGAAGGGAACTTTAAATAATGTGATCTAAATTGATTGTGGCTTAATTGAAGAACTTTCTTTGAAAACAATTGCTGATTATGCTGCTATCGATAGAAAAACCGTTCAGCAAAAATGTTGAATGATTTGAAATGGAATTAAAAGTTTATAAACTAAAGAAGAAGAATGCCTGTCTGAGTTGGGGGCAAGTAGTATTTGGGGGCGTGGCTAGAGGGCTTACTCAAAACATCTGTTTAAGACCTAAATGTTGTACACACAATAATATTTTTTAATAATAGTATTCGCGCTGCTCCGTCGCCCAATCGCCGGTGCTGAGAATTTACCTTTCGAAGGGCGCCCCATCGTTGGCCGCCTCGTTCAGCTGGCGATGCATATCGATCTGGTTCTGGGTGGTCTGGGCACGGCGTGCCTCCTCCTTGCGGCGTCGATCCTCGGCGGCCGCTTTCATCGGATCGTAGGTGGAGCGTCGCTTCCACATGACCATTTCGACCTCCTTTTGTTTGTTCACTGTTGGCAACAATTGTAATTGAAATGTGTTCGAAATGTGCTTGTGTTGCCAATTGTCTACTCACCTGAGGCATCGCGTCGCACAGCGGATGAGGCACGCAACCCAGTGGCGCCACCGCCCAGCGATGTGGTGCTGCTGTTCATCACCGAGGTGTTCGAGCGGACACTCCGATTGCTGGCCCGAGTGCCGTCGCCACGCGTCAGACCCATCGAGGAGGCGCTGGGACTGCGCTTCATTTGCTCGGCCGGCTTGAGGGTGCTCTTCGCATCGTTCTTGCGCAGAAAACTATTCGATTGCGCCGACTTGTACTTGGATATGTCCAGATACTTGGGCTGTACACGCGCCTGCTGCTGCGACTCCCTGCCACCGACACTGTTCGCATTCGCCGTCTGCAGCAGCTGCTTCTTGGCATTGGCCAGACTGCTGGGCACCTGCTGTGCCAGCCGGCTCAGACTGGTCTCGCGCGGCATCGATTGGCGCATCTTTGTTGCACCACAACCGGAGGCGGCACGCGGGGCACTCTTGATGCCACGACGCGGCAACTCCGGCGTATTGGGACAGGCGACCAGGCCGGCAGCCGACTGGGCGGCAGCGCTCAGTTTGCCAGCGGGCGCCGAGCTGGGCTTCGCTGGTGTCGCGTTGCCTGCATTGCCTGCCACACGCTGTTTACTGCGCTCGATGCGCATCAGAAGCGCCTTGTTGAGCCGTGTATTGCTCAGCGGCACAGCTGCTTCCGTGTTATTGTTGCTGTTGTTGTTGTGCGTCGACTGTTGCTGCTGCTGCTGGTGCTGCAAGTGCTGCTCGAACTCCTCCTCATCGCCGCTGGAGTAGTAGGGGCCGGTGGTGCCCAGCTCATCCTCATCGTTGATGTAGTATTGCAGCTCATTGTCGTAGTCGCTGTACGAAGACTGCTCAAAATTGTTGCTGCTCGCCGATTTCTTCAGTTGCAGCTGCAACTGTTGCTGCTGCTGCTGGTGTTGCATGTGACGCGCTGCTGGCGGCATGTATAGATTTTGAAAATTGGGTCGCGCCTGCCGCTGCATCGCTTGCAGCGTTCGATTCTGCTGCTGGAAGGAGCTGGAGCGACGCAGCGGCGATATGGAGCCGCCGCCGCCGCACAGTTGCGACGCCGGCAACTCGTGCTCGTGGTGCTGCTGCTCCACATCGTCCAGAGAGTTCTTGCGGCGATGCAGCTGCTTCAGCAGATAATCACCGCTGGTCAGCAGCTGCAGCTGCGCCTCGTTGATGCTGCTGGTCATCAGAGCACGATGCAGCGGCGATCGACGATAGCCACCCGCCGCCGTCGTCTCCAAACTATGCTGTGGACTGCACTGAGCCGCCGGCGATTTATTAACCGAACTGCGACGCGAATTCGTCTGCGACGGCATCTGCTCCAAGGCCGGTCGCGAGCGGCTGGCACTGCGCGCACGCCCCAACGTGTGCAGCGGCGATGGTATCTTACTGGGGCTCTTTGGTGGCTTATATGGCTCACCCTGGCTTAACAGACCCGGACCACCATGGCTGCACAGCGCCGGATCGCTCGCGTAGTCACAGTCACCCAGCAGCCGATACCGTTCGGCCAGGCTGCGATTCAGTTTGGCAGCCGCTGCATATTGTCGCTGCTGCTGGCTGTACAAACTGAGGCTGTCGTCCGTCAGCGAATCCGCTCCCGTATCCGAGCAGTTGTAGCTCCGTGTCATCAGCTGAAGTGGACAAAGACGAAACTGATTAGTTGCTTCTTACTATTTAAGTGGAATACCTGCACTGCGAGCTACTCGATTTATTGTGCCCCCAACTGAGCCTATCGCTGCCTCCTCCATCAAACCCCATCGAGAATCTTTGTTGAGTTGAGCGCTGCTATGTCCTTGAAACTCTTAGCATGCATCCCTGGGATAGGACACTGATTTGTGGCTTATTTATTTATTTCTATTTATTTATTATTTATTTTTTATTTATTTAGTCATTTAAGTTTTCATGGAAATTCTTAATCCATCCCCAGAAGCACTTTTTGAGTGAATAATTTTAGCACCAATTTTGAGCAAGAATCTAACTTTGAATGCCCAAATCGGATCACTTTTGACCAAGTTTTGGCTATGGAAAGTTTCGACTATTTTCAGATTGATGATTTTCGAAGCTGAATCGAGTTTTTAGCTTTAAATGTGGAATTATTCAAGAGATCAAACCATGATTAAAAAGTGTCTCCTTTTGAAAATCAGATCACTTTTGACCAAGTTATGGCTATGAAAAGTTTAGAGCTGTTTCTAAGTTGATGTTTTGGCACAGAATCTTAAAATGTGATTCACCAACTAATTCTAGCTGCCAAGCTAGATGACTAAAATCAATCCATTTCTCACAGTGCAGATTAGAATTGGGTCCCACCTGAGCCTGGGCTTGTTGCTGTTGCTGCCTGCGGCTGGCCGAGCTGCTGCTGACATCCTGTGCGAGGCTGCGAGCGCGGGCATTGCGTGCCCACTCCTGAATCCAGTCCTGCTTGGTTGGCGCCGACTGCAGCCGCACTGCCTCCGTGGTGGGCGTCGTTGGCGTCTCGGGCAGCTGATGATGCAGATGCGACTGTTGCTGCTGCTGCTGCTGTGTGTTGCTGCTGGTGAAGACATTCAAGCGATACTCGGCCTTCTGGCGATCTGTGGCGCTGCCCGCCATCGACATGGCCTGGGCATGCCGCAGCTTGGCCTCATTGCTCACATACTCGGAGCTATCGATCTGTGACGTGGACAGACTGTGCGACGTGTGCCGCGTCTGCTTGGGATGCGTGTCCAACGCACGCTGTTTGGCCAGCACACCGCTGGTCGTGACGCTGGTAAAGCAGCCCACATCGGCCGCCGGTGAACGGGGCGGCGATGGTGGCGTTAGTGGCGCCTGCGCCGGTGCCGGGCGCAGCACAACACGCGACTTTAGCTGCTGCAGATAGGCGCCGGTGGCATTGGCCGTGTTGCTGCTGCCCTTCTGCTCCTGCTGCGGCGTCTCGTGATAGTAGTTGACCTCGAGCACATTGCTCGGCCGGCTTGGCTTGACCGACAGCTGTTTAGGTCGCAATTTGGCGCTGCGATCGATGTTCATGAGATCCTTTTGCTCCTCGGTGTAGTTGTCGCCATCCAGCGTATAGGTGCCAGCCTCGCTGATAGCATCCTCGCCATCCACACCCCCACACTCGCCCGCCCCCATCCCCTTTAGGTCGTCGAGCGGCGGATGCGGGCAGAGCAGCTCCACCTGCTGCAGCGCCAACTGCATCGCCGTCGATCTGGGCGTAAATTGATTGCTGCGATTCGCCACGAGATTGGCGGTGCCTTTGGGCGTTGGCTTGGACTTGCTGGCTGCGGCCCTTTGGGCTGCTGGTTTTGGCTCTGCCACTGCTGCTACGCCAGCTGCTGTGCTCGAGCTGCGCGGCGACCAGCTGTGCCGCTTGGCGGCGTCTCGAACGCGTGACGCGCTCCGTTCGCGTACACGCAACTTGACAGCGGGTGCTGCTCCTGCTCCTGCTGCTCCTGTTGCTTGTTCGTTGGTAGGCGTGGCCGGCACTGAGGCATCATCGTTGCTGGGCTCGCCATTCTCCAGCTTGGACATGGAGGCGCCACGTCTGTGGCGACTCTGAAAGCGCTCCATCATTGTCTTGTAGCGTGCCGCCTGCACAGCTGCATCATTCGCAGACGCATCGAAATGATCAATGGTGAAGGAGAGCGCCTGTTTGGTGGATGTCGAATTCGATGCCGTCGAATCGTCTTCATCCGCAGCAGAGTTTTCCGTGTTGTTGTTGCTGTTGTTGCTCTTGTTGTGGCTGCTGCTGCTGCTGTTGCTGCTGTGTTGATGATTCGCTGCTCGGCTCAGCACAGCCGCTGCAATGGTATAGAAAAAGCCAACAATTAAATTATTTATTTATTTATTAACAGCTATGAATAATTCCGTTTGAGCGGTGAAAACAAGGCTAACTTGCCACAGAATTCAAACTGAACGAACCAACGCACCAACTCAAGTGGCAAGCAAACCAGCGCAAAGCATGGCAACTAAGTGAGTGCCACAAGTGCCACAAGTGCCACAACAAGCGGCAGGTTCAGCAACCATGCAGCCAATTGGGCGCTTCAGACTCGGGGCGCAAAAAAAAACCAGCTCGAATTGTGTGTAAAATTCAATGGAAATTCAAGAAAAGTAGAAGCCAACTTCGGTTTATATTTGAGATCAATTTTGTAAGATTTAAATATTTAATTCTAAATTAAAAAAGATTCTAACTCCTGGTAGATCTATTAAGTGCCTAGTTAAAATGCATAACGGATAATCAATCTAAATCCATGTTAATATACAGAACATGATCTCTTTCAGAGGAAACCAATGCTTTAATCAAGCACAGTTGGGATCTCAACATATTATTAGTAACAACTACAACTTAATTTAGGAGCTGATGAACAAAAGATCGCTTCACAATTCAATTACAAATAGTAGTTAAAAGAAAGGGTAATATAAAAAGTAATGGTAATTATAGAGGAAGGGCAAGCCCCCGGAGGAAGCAGGGTGTGCACAACAAACGAGGCAAGTTGAGGAGGTGAGGAACAATGCCTCCGATAATGATCAGTTATTTGGCTGGGCAACAACGCCCACCTGTATTATAGATATTCCCCCACTGCTTCCGCTAGCTTTACGATTTTTTCTTTTCTTTTCTTTTTTTCTTTTTTCTTTACATTATTTCCGTGGCAAAGCGAGCAAAGTAGAAGAAGAAAATCAAACAATTTGCTTTCAAGTTTGCCACGCCAGTGATCTCAATTGTAGCGCTGGACGGGACGGGACTGGACGTGATCTATGCCTGACTGCCACTATATATATATATATATATATATATATATATATATATGTATATATGTATAGTTATATATATATGTAGGCAGACTCGAGCGAAACCGAGCAGTGCAGCCAAATGAAGGTTAGAGTTCGTTGATTTTGCTCAATTGTGTGTGTTTGTGTATATATATATATACATATGTGTGTGTGTGTGGTCTCCCAATTGTTTACGCTCTGGCTGCCACTGCTTTTGTTGCACGTGTCTTCCGTTCCGGCGTGCAACTTCAACTTCTCGACTTGCCCCGCTTCAGGCTGACCAAATTAACGGCCGATTTCACTCAACTATTTTTGGGCCGTAAATCAATTAATTTTGAGATATATATATATTTTTTTTTTTATTTTTTTTTTCTTAGAATAAGCAGTTGGTAGCTAAACAGGAAACATGAGTAAAAAGCAACGAATGATTTTGTTTAAAATCTAGATTAGCTTTTGGAATCATTAACTCAATCGTAGCGAACAGTAATAATGGAAAATTACTACGAGTTGATTGTAGAACTAGAACTAAAATAGCTGTAGCAAAATGAAGAACAAAAAATGTTATCTAATTAATTTCCGCTCAAAATCAGATTAGTTTTGGCCATTTATTACAACAATTTCCGTTTGACAATTGACCGACTTTCGTTGAGATCTTAATATATTTTATATATGGATTTTTCCGTTTTAATTGCAAGTTCAACAATATTTATGAATTAAATCTTTGACGTTTTACAAATTATAGTAAAAAATATATTTTATATATGGAATTTTCCGTTTTAATTGTAAGCTCAGTAATATTTATGAATTAAATCTTTGCCGTTTTACAAACTACAATAAAAGACTGAATCACCACACGTCAATTGTGAAGACGATGACCTCAACCAAATGACAATTTATGACAGCATGGAAGCTTTCTCTGCTGTCTTCGGGCAAACATATATGTATATGAATATGAATATATATATATATATATAAATATAATCACATTTAAATGCATGCAAAACCGCAAGAGTTGAGCATTTGTTGTATTTGCTGATGGGCGAAATGTTTCTAAAAAACAATCATTTAAGAGCTGCCCGAAAACCAAATTAGACAGCTCAAAAATCATTTAACGACTGCTAAAAAGCGGCGGGAATGACGTAAGAATAGCTTACGAATCACCCAATTATAAACCAATTGAAACCTGTTGCCATTTAATGGCTGGGAACTGATAAAATTACTATCGATTTGCTATTGTTTCCTTTTTTCTTTTTTTTTGTGCAGTTGTTCGATTAAATGGCTTAAATGGCACACGCAATATTATAATTGGTAAGAGCTTGCAGCCCAAAACAGAAAAAAAAACACAGCAGGCCCTTCATCGGGCCCTTCAATTTCTTAAACTTGACTTTCCAAAAAAAATAAAATAAAAAAAAAACGAAAAAAAACTGAAACTGAAAACTAGAAAACAAAAAAAAAAACGAAAAGTTTCAACATGAAATGGCTGTAATAACATTTTGCTTATTTATTTATTGCAAAAAGTAAAAGCGCACACAACAATAAAAAATATAAAAAAATCATTTAAAAACTGTAACAAACGCTTCAAATGCCACTCGACAACAGACAACAAAAAACAATTACAATAACAATAACAATGGCAACTAGCCGAATATTGACGATCTAACAGACAATATTTTTGGCATGCTCGCTGGTCAGTGTAATTACCGTTAGTTGCGGCCTTTGTGGCAAGCAAAACAAAAAGAAACAAATAAGAAAAAACAGTGGCAACACTTCCTGCCATATTCCACTGACACGGATCTTTATGCTTTGTTGCTGTTGCAACAAGCGCACAACTCACTGTTCTACTTTGCCCCAAAAATCACGTAATGTGCAACCAACTAAACAATATTCGCAATTTTGTCATCATTTATTCAACTAATATACCCTGTACGTGACTCATGCCGGTTGTGCTGGTGCAACAGACTCAGTTAGGGGCAAGTAAACGATTTGCAAACTAGATTTATAAGGCAAGCAATACTATTTTACGTGCAGTGTATTAGACACTTTTAAAAAAATCTCCCTAAATTTTAGTAAATCGCCATTCTTTTTTATTAAGAAAGTAAATTTCGAAAATTTTATTATTAAATGTCAGAGTGAACTTTTGTGGAATTTAGAAAAAATATATTTTATTTTCTGGGTTTTCATTTCTAACATAATAATTATATAGACAATATTGAAGAATTCCTATTTTATATTCTTTGTTACTTATATTATTATTAAGCATTAATATTTCCAGACTTCACATATACCATGAACATTGTAAATAGTTTATAAAATTCATTTACTTAACTTGAAAAAAACTAACGACAGCTAAACTCTATTAAAAAATTTGAATTTTAGAACAGATCTTCAAAAAAATGAAGGTTCGGATTGCTTCTTTTTGGAAATGTTTTTCTTTATAATAGAAAATATTTGTAAAAAAATAAATATGAATCCTTCAAAATGTAAGTCGATTTTATTTCTGAGTGTAGAGTTGCGCAAACTTTGCACTTCAGCGAACTGCAACGATCGTTGCCAATTGTTCACCAAATGTCGCAAATATTAACTCGAATTAGACTTGGTTCGTCGCACTGCTGGCTCTAATACTGGGTCAAGCAGGAGTAAGGTAAGAAATTGCAATCAATTGGGCGCTAACTGGGCTAACTTCTGCCAATAACCAATATTAAAACATGCTAAAAAGCAGTTCAGCTGCGAAATATGAGCTCAACAACAGCTCTAACAGCATTAAGTAATTGCGAGCTTGGGCAACATCATCGCCACTTAACTTTAATTACAATCTTTAACACATCGCAAATTGTACAAAATCCGCGGTGTTTTGAGCAGATTTTGTTGAGCAGATATTAAAAATCTCGTTGAAATGCTTGCGGCTTGGATTGCGTTGTGCGAAAAAAACCAGCAACAACAATAGCAACTTGGCCATATTGCAATAGTCCCAACTGATCTGTGGGTGCTGAGTCATCGTCGCCTCATTTGAAGCATTTTGCTTGCCTTTTTTGTTTTGGGGGGAGGTGTGATTTACGTGCACGGCATGAAAATGGTAGATAATGACAGCAACTGTCCGATTGTGCAAGATCTGACAGTCATAAACACAAACAAAGCGAGAAAATTGTTCAACTTTAGACTGACAAATCTGAAATGCCCTCATAGAGTCATTTTATTCACAATATACCAAGCTGATCTTGCTCAAAGTCATCTCAACAAATTTAAGAATGATTTATAATGTCACAACTAAATTATCTATCTTTATAGTAAAGCTTTAAGAAACAAAATGGGCCACAAAATACAAAAAACCCCGAGGGAAAGAGTATATATATCAACAACTGATAAAAGCCATGACAAAACGTTGATTATAAAAACAGTTTGTGACTTTCTCAAGCATTCATCGAGGCAACTGTGGCACAACTGGGCGAACAGCGATTGGATTATGTCATCCTCGGCTTGTTGCAACAAAACGTCGCATGAATTCCAGAATTTTGCGGAACAGCAATTGTTTGTTGTTTTGATGTTTTTGTTTAAACAAACAATTGCTCGGGTGACAAACACTATTTGTTGGTATTTCTGAGAAATATTTCAAATATTTGCAATTCGCAATTATGTCTTGATTTAGGCGCAAAACAAATTTAATTCTACAATTTTGGCAACAGGCCAAAAATGCTGTTAGCCTTGTGCCCAAAATTGATGACGATCGATTTGATGTTCAAACTGATTTAAGTCTTCAGCACTGAATGGAAAACAATGGAAACGATTTTGAATATTTTAATATTTGTGCAATATTTTAACAATAAAAAATCAATCAACTTTGAAATTATAATCATTACAAATGTATAATTAGTTGGTAATTAATAATTATAATTATATTTGAGAAATGAGAACTGCTTTGAGTGCAAGAATACGCAACTTGTTTTAAGGCCACGTCCCACTGTGCAGCGCCCTTTCGCACACTGTTCTTTTATGGGTGTGTTTTGCATACGTTTGTGTTGTGCCTGTGTGTGTGTGTGTGTGTTTGCCATGACTAGCGCAATAAATATTTGCGTTAAAGCTGCGGCTAAAACCAGCCAGCAAAATAGCTTCATTAAAAATTCAAATTAAAAGCCACAACAAGAAAACAAGAAAAGAGACAAGCTGAACAACAACAACAACAAAAGATCTTCATGTTGCTGCTGCTGCTGCTGAATTCTGCGCTTATGCTTTGTCAACAGCGCAGCGACTGCGACTGCGACTCTTTTGTCAGTTTGCTGCTCACCTTTTTCGGCCGGCGATGGCGGCGGTTTGCCCAAACAGAACTTTGTGTTTGACTCATCGATGGCAGCACCAAGTCCTATTAAGCTCGATGCATGCACTTGCTGCTGCTGCTGCAGTCGCTGCGCAGCTGACCCTGACGTCGCTGCTTCTGCTTCGGCTGCCTGTTTCTCCTTCTCCTGCTCCTTTTGCTTCTCCTGCTCCTTCTCGTTGTCGCTTATGATCTCGGCAATCTTCTTGATATTCTCGGGCGTCGTGTCGGCTTTCTCTTGCCCATCATCTTCGTCATAGCGACTGCTCCTATTGTTGTTGTTGCTGGACATTTGCTTGTCGACTGCAGTCGTAGTTGGCGTTGCTGCTGAGGCTGCGTTTGTTGTTACTGCTGCTGCTGCTGTTGCGTTTGCTGCTCCTGTTGCTGTCGCTGCTGCTGTTGTCGCTGCCGACGTAGCCGTTGTGTCATTTGCGTATGATGTCATATTAAGCCTGGCCAACTTGAATGGCAGCGATTCTTTTTGTTGTGATGAATTTGGGACTACACCTATTTTATTATTATCTCTCTTTTTGGCTTTCCTTTCACTTGTTAATTTAGTTAATTAATTAATAAGCACGGCATTTTTGCCACAAGCAGCTGCTCCGTTTTGTCTACTACTAATTTCGGTTGCTACACTTTTCGCTGCTGGCGTTGCTGTTGCTGCTGGCGTCGCTGCGTACGCAAATTCCTGCACGCCTACTTCGCTTTGAGTAAAAGAAATGATGACGAGCATTACATAAAGAACCAATCAAGAACACGAACACACGCACAAAGCAGAGACACCGATACGCACACACATGCACGCAGACACACACACACACACACACAGACGGGACAGTGTTAATGACCATGCGACGACATGTTCAATTGTTCAGTTTTCTTATTGGACGAACGGTCGAGCATGCATGGAAAACCAATTTGAGCATTTCCACTTCAACATAAAAATAGCCGCCGCTTTTGCCTTTTCAAGGTTGCTGTTGTTTTTGTTGTTGTTGCTGTTGTTCTAATCGAATATTTGCTATGCCTTTTGTTCAATTCTTATTTTTACATTTGAACATTTTTGGAAACAGCAGCCGACACTCACACATATATGCACACACACATACACACACACGTTTACATTCAAGGGCGCCGCGTTCACTGCACTTGTTTTTGCTTTTACTTTTGCTTTTGTTTCTGCGTTTGCATTTGCTCTTCACAACTCTTAGTCAGTGTTGATAATAAACTCTTTACTTTTGTATACACAACTCTGTCTGCTTTGCATTGTTTCTTGTTTTTAATTTAATTCTTAGCACGCGCTGTAGATGTAGTCGCTGCTGCCAAACGCTTACTCACGCCAGTACAGACACAGTTAAGACTGAAAGAGTCAAGTCGAGTCAGTGTGTGTTTTGGCCAAAAGTGACGTATGGCAACGGGTTGTGAGCGAGAGAGTGAGAGAGTCTGCTGAGAGAGAGCGGAATGCGGTTCAGTGAGAGAATGCTATGAAACAGCTGCTGCGCGCTCTTTGCTCTTTGCAGCAGAGTTGCCGTTTGTTGAGAGACCTGTTCAGGGTTGTCAACTACAACATATGTGTAAATTGCTCTCGGAACTATCAAAATAAGCGGCTGTATCTTGTAGCTTGATTATTATATGCACCAAAGATAGTCTGAAGAATAAATAAATCTGACTGGTTTGTGAGATTGTTTTTTTTTTTTAAGAATAAAGTGTGTACTTAAATTAACCACACAAAAGATATGTACAACAATTTCCAATTCGATTGATAAGAAAAAAGGGTGCAATTAAATGAACCAGTTAGCATAAACATGCATATCACTAGGTGGCAGCGCTGTAAATTACGGCGCGAAGACAATTTGTTGTTAGCTTTGCGCTCTTGGCTCTCTCTCTCTCTCTCACCCCAAGCCGCGTTCTCTGCGCACACACACACAGGCACATACACACACTTAATGACGCATTGATTGTTGTGGATATTGAACTCGCCACACAAAATGAGCTAATTAATTCACTGATATTGGGAAACATCAATGTTAATTAGCCTCAATAATTCACGCCTGAACAAGCACACTACACAATTCATTTTTGAGACAGTCAGGTGGCCAGACAGGTGGCCTTCGCGTGCCATTATTCCGAGCTATTTATATTTATATAGCGAAAATTGTTGTTGCATACGAATTGCATTGAAATTAGATTTGCAGAAAAAGCATAAATTTAGTTGAACAATCAGCTGCAGCTGGACAAGTGGCAGGCAACAAAAACAATTGCCGCATAAATGATAAGAGCTTTTCCCACACACCCACACACACTTTCTGTCCCACTCTCTCGCTCTTTGGCACGCGCACGCTCTCTCACTCCCTCTCTCGCTCGCTCTCCCAGCATTCTTTTGTATTGGCATTTTTACTGCCTTTGCACTTGTTCAGCGCTCAATATTTATTTGCATTTCTTGGCTATTTTGCGGCTTGTCAGGCAGCTGCATTTGCCACACTTAGTGCACAACACGTCGAATAATTTAACACCGTATTTGTTATGGATTTGAAGCTATTTACTTGCTGCGAAGTGCAAGGAAAACCAGCGCCAGAAATTGCAACTTTTCGCGTTTGTTGTGCCAATCAGACTAGAGATGGTCACAACTGCGATATATTGACTACAACGATGAACAGTGTGACCAAAAAGCGTTAAATATAGATATACTAGATGTGAAACCAAAATATACTAGCAATTATGGCGCTAAAATATTTGAAATTCGAAATGAATATAAAACGATGGCAAATAATAAATTTGAAAAGAATGTATTATATATAGTATACTTAATAGCAACATTCTGAATATAAGAGTAAGCCTAAGATATCATTAATTTAAAGGTCCAAGCGTATTCCAATCCGCGCTTATCGATCTGATGCTTGAGCGGAAACTTGATGTGCACCTTGTTGTGACTTGCTGTCCACTGTAAATGCCAACAGTTGGTTAAAAAGAGCACAGATTTTTAAATTGCAACGCTCACCTCGATCTTTGCATCCTCCATGCCCAACATGGTAATTCTCGTTGTTGTCTTATCCAAGCTGGGGCCCAGATCCAAACCGGCGAGCAGCACTTTGCGATACCTGTTGAGATCCTTGCCCAGCGGATAGATGTCCAGCTCATTGGTATCGTAGGGATATTCCAGCACAAAGGCATACACGATGACGACTCCGTTCGACTGCTCCGCTCCCTTCGTATACCACACGTACGGCGTCTGTGTGTCATTCTGATAGATCCAGGGCAGGCTGCCATAGATGCCCTCGCCATTGATACGCAGCCAGCGGCCCATGTCCCGCAGACGCTCCTCGAAGATGGGCAAAATGGTGCCATATTTTGTGGGTCCCACATTAATCAGCACGTTCCCATTGCAGCTAACGGTGCTGACAATTTCTGGAAAGGCACAAACAAAAATCGACCTCAATTTTGGAAAGTTTTTCAATCTTTTAGACATAATTTCTAAATATAAATATTTAAAACGGCTTATTTCTTAGCAATATTTTTGGGAAACACATTTCTAAAAATCACAAAATTTCAGAAAATTACTTTCTGAATTATAATTTACTAAAATTTGGATTTAAATCCAATTAAAAAAAATGGTTTACCTTTGATAACTTCTTTGGAGGTCATAAAATCCTTGAGCGTGACATCGAAGCGCTGTCCCCAGCTGCTGCGATCCAAGGTGAAGGCGTTCTCCCACTTGTGGGCCTGGAGCACGCCGGGATTGAAGCGATCCGCACAGTTGTAAAAGTCGCCATGCCGGCAGGCAGTCTCAAAGCCCCAGCGATCGTTGGTCACAACTGTGTCGCGGACGGGACTGTCGTTGTAGAGCCACGCAATAAACTCCTCTGATTTCCAGTATTTTGCCGGCGCCTCCCAATCGCCATCGGACCAAATGATCTCTGGCAAATACTCATTGACCAGCTCCATTTGCTCCGGCCTCACCTTGTAGTCCACAAAGTGCTGCTGGAGCAGCAGATGCAGCTTGTCATCGATCCACATCCGATTGAACCATTCAAATAGAGAATAATACAAACCAAATTTGAGATCCGTAACACTGCGCAAAGCCGACGAAAGTTCCTCTGTGGCAGGCATAAAAGAGTTGCATTTTTATGAATGAATCAAGAAGTTGCGAATAATAATAAAATAATAATAATAAAAATAGCACAACTTTGATATTTTTTAGGAATCAAAAATCAGCTCATTAGTCTGGTAATTTTTTCATATATTGTTTGGTATTTCCCTAAACAAATTAAACTTAGTACTGCTCCTGAAATTCTATGCAATGTATACTTTTTTTCATTTGCAAAAAAGTGCCAAAAAGTAGTGAAAAAATAATTTATTAGAGCAATCCTTAATTTATTCCTAATTTGTAGACATTTGCAAAATTGTGCAATTATTTTCTAGCTAATATTTTCTCTGGCTCTAACTAACATTATCTCTTTTACTAGCGAGAAGGTCCCATCTGAAATCAGACTAAATCTGGAAAAGTGCTCCGGCTTTGATAACATCAAGGCAAAAAAATATCATTGTGTTTTTTTGATGTGTATTTTCTACAAGTACAGAAAATGTGTTGTATTCCACTTGACTCTTTGCTCTTCTGTTAATTTCAAATCGGACTTTATAACATATTAAATATTACTTACTGATAATATCGCGTTTTGGGCCCACATCCACTGAGTTCCAGCCAAAGCTCTGCTTCGAAGGCCACAGCGTGTAGCCGTCGTGATGTTTGCTGGTCAGCACCACATATCTGATAAGAGATTAGGCCGTTATCTCAACTGAACAATATATGTAAATATAGTCTATATTCAAGCTGACCTTGCACCACTATCCTTAAAGAGCAAAGCCCATTGGGTGGCATTGAATAATTCGGCTGTGAACTGCTCCCCGAATTGTTGATAGGTGAAATCGGGTTTATAATTGCGCTGCATGAATCGTATATAGTCCGGGTTGCGTAGATCTATATATATATGTATAAAATACAGTAATTGTTCAGATAGTGCGTAGTTTTTGCTCTTCTTCTTCAACTCACTTATCCAATTGGTCCAGAACCACTCGGATCCAAAGCTGGGCACCGAGTAGACACCGTAATGCAAAAAGATGCCCACCTTTGCCTCATCGTACCATTTGGGCAGCGGTCTCTGATCGAGGCTCGCCCAGTTCGCCTCGTACCTGGTGCGGTGACCCGTTGGAGCCTGTCCACAGTTGCCAAACGCTGCCAGCATGCCCAGCACGGCGAGCGTTAAACTAAAACGTTTCATTCCCTTGCTCTTATCACCGGTTGCGAATTACGCCCCTTTTTTTGATTTATTTATACTTTGCTTTTTGGAGCCTGCCGGCAGCCTCCGATTCGCTTCGATTGCAGCGTCCAACTGAACTGAGCCGAGCCGAGCTCAGTGAAACGAATGAGAGTGGGAGAGTGAGCAACAGCGGAGAGAGAGAAAGGGAGAGGAAGAAAGAGCGTAGCACATCCGTCAATCTACTAAGTGAGCGAAATGAAGGGCCTGACGAATTTCTATACCCCTTGTGCATAACTCTGTGGAGGGTAGTTGCAAACAACCTAAACAGATGTTTTCATATATTTATATATTTATAATTATCAACCTAGATATTCCTGATAGCCATAATAAGCTTTGACTATTAAATAAAAAGTTCTGTATTTTATAACATTTAACATAAAATTGAAAAAAATATAAGTAAAACACTTTATTTTCATTTAGTCAGCTTCAGTTTTCAACCATTAATGCTACTTTTGACAAGCTTTTAAATAAGAAGAGATTACCATATATTTATATAATTTTAAATGTCATCCAGGGTATTTACGCGTCGGCATCCAATGCATGTGCTTACGAATGAAACTGGAAGGCGCACACAGAAACACACACATACACACTCATACAGACAAACATGCCCACACACACACACACACACACACACACACACTTGTTTATTTCAATTTATATTAACGACAATTTTTGTTTGCATTCGTATGAAGCATGTATACATTTCTAAATAAATATTTTAAAATAAACATCGATTTGCCAGTTGAAGTGATTGATAAACGTTGCATTCAATTATATCTTGTGGATGTTCCGATAAGCAACACGCGATTACAAACATAAATACAAACATAAATAATTATGAAATATATAGAAATGTTTATGTACTGCAAATGCCAAGTAGAATAGACAATATATTTATAAAACCTTCAAGTATGGCTTGAAAAATATCAAATATCAATAACAAGTTACACCCATTTCCATAAGGCGTCGCGGTTGCATTCAACATATTTACAGCTATGTAAATATGTTATTTCTATTTTAAAACAACTCCCAGCTGCAATTTACTATATTAATAAACAATTCCTTTAGTTTTTTTTTTAATTGAACATAACAGTTTATTTTATTATCATTTTGCATCTCATATTTTGCTTGTTTTTTTTTGTATTTGGTTTTTTTTTTTTTTTGTATTTTGTCTTTTTGTCATAAAATGTGTCGCTTTGCTTAATTCCAGTTGGAAACTGGCACAAATCAAGTTGATTCCGTGCTGTGCATTTCCACGTTCAATTCAAATTCAATTTTTCATCCGCATTCTTTGTAAATAGTTCATATATATTTTTTTTATTTGTTTTTCGTTTTTTGTTTTTTGTTTTTGTTTTCTTGTGTGTTCAACGAATCGAAAATTGTATTTTGTGGGTTAGCTAAAGCTTGGACTGTTTTCTGTGAGCTTCGAATGTGAATGGGTTCAACTACTGGAAAGCTGGAGAGAAGATTCCCATCTAAAGCGCTTTTTGCACACACACACACACGCAGTCTAACACACACACGCATACACACACTCACACACACACACACATACAACATTCTAGTATACACTGAACAATTTGTTGTTATTTCATATTTTAGTTTCGTTTAGTTTTGTTTGTTTTTTAAAGTAAATTATCTTCATTGCCTTTGTTAATTTATTCAAGTCGTATTTTTCTTCTTGATTTTTGTTTTCTTTAATATACTCAGCATGTTTTCAACACTTTATTATTTTTGGCTAGTCTAAAATCGGGTGCAACATTCGGTGTGCGGGTTACATGAGTCGTGTAGATACATTTGGTGCATACATTTTTCTTTTTATATATTGATTGGTTTTCAGGCATCTTCGCATCTGTGAAGAGAAGTACAAGTTAAGAGCGTGTGTTTCTTTGTTTGTCATAAATAAACATATATATTCATATATATATATATATGCTATAGGAATAGTCTATAGTAAGTTCAAGTGCTCTCTTTAGTTAGTGAGTCGCTTAAGAATTGGCGAAAGGTCGATTACAGCCCAAAAGCAAGCTTAGCGAACATTTTGAAAGGGGAAACAACAAAAACGAAACCAAAAAAAAGTGTTTTGAGATACGATCTTAAAAAGATATAATTGTATAGTAGTGTGTGTGTTATATCAGCCCCAAACATTTATGCTTAAAATACATTTAAATGTGCATAACTCCAAGTAAAGCTTTTGGTTTAGTTAATTAATAGTTAAACAATGAAAACGCAAAGGAATCTTTCAGTTAAATGCTAAAAGAAAAAGGAGAAAACAAAGCGTTAATTCATAATCGAATTGTATATAAATATATACACACATATATATATTTATATATAAATATGTTTGGCTATGCACATTTAAATATTTATTGAGGTATTTGTATATATTATCATGGTTTGTTTTCGATTTTTTTGTTTCGCTACGAATTAAAACAGTCGTAAAAAATAACACTAAAGAAATCTGCATTGCAATTAATACTTCTTTTTTTCCCTCTCGCTCGACAGGAAGCAGAAAAAAATACAAATAGATTGTAGTTAAATAGTAGTTAAAATAGTTGAAAAGGGACTTTCCAGTTTTTTGTTTGTTTTTGTTTTTGGATTGTTAAAGCTACCAGTGTGACCGTGCGTCAATAAAGTTGTGTGTGAGTGTGTGTGTGTGTTGTGTTTGTAGTAGTAATTATATTTTTTACAATTTGTGTTTGTTTTATTATTAACTAGTTTCTTTTTGTTTATCAACTTTTGTGTTTCGTTCGTTTTAGAACTAAAGTGCTTTTGTATTTATTTAGTTGCCTTTCAGGCTATGCCTTTATTAACTGTCATTTCTGTCGTGGGCGGGGGCAGGGCGAGGAGGGGATGTGGTTGGTTGGTTTGGGGCAAGTGGGCAAATATATACGTTATAAAGCCTTTTAAGCGTCATAGCAGGAGACCCAGCTTCCTTCTCGCTCGATCTCGATCTTCATCTCGATCTTTATCTCATTCTATGTCTAAGTCGAAGCTTGCAGCTCACTAAATATATCAACTCTAGAATGAACATGTGTGTCTGTGTGTGTGTGTGCGTGTGTGTGTGTGAGTGTGAGTGTGTGTGTGTCTGTGTATGTGTGTGTCTGTGTGTGTGTGCTCTATGGAACTACGCAACTGTTTTGAACTGCAAACCGACTATCGTTTATCGTTTATCGATAAATGTGTCTTACAATTTCTTGTGTTCTGTTTGTTTTTTTTTGTTGTTGTTTTGTTTTTATTATTTTTACAATATTTTTTAACTTTAGGATCATAGAAGTAATAACATTAAATAACATTTTTGCGTAATTCTAATATTTCTAATGTTTTTTGTTTTGTTTGTTGTTGTTGCTGCTGTTGCTGTTGTTTTTGTTGCTGCTGCTGCTGCTGCTAGTCACACTATGTGGTTGCTGTTGAGTTGCTGTTGTTGCCACCGCCACTTGCCGCAGACGCCGCTGCTGCGCCCGCCGCATTGCACTGGATGAGGCCGCTGTGTTGCGTCGTCGATGAGGCTGAGGCAGAGGCAGCTGCTGCTGCAGCTGCCGCATGTTGCTGCTGCTGGTGCAGGTGATGCAAGTGATGCTGATGATGATGCGGATGATGATGATGCTGCGCATGATGATGATGATGATTAAGATGGTTCATATTGTGATTGCTGCTGCTGTTGTTGCTGCTGCCGTTGTTGCTGCTGTTATTGTTGCTAAAATTTAAATGTAATGCGCCGTTTGTTGCTGTTGCTGTTGTTGCTGTTGCTGCCACATCCGTGGCACCCGCTGGCGGATGAGGAACTGCCGAGGTGCAGTAGCGCGTTGTATCACCAAATTCACCACTGGTCAAATCACCGAGAATGCCACCCATCAAGCCACCGCTGCCCGGCGGTTTACCAGCAGCGCCCGGCTCCGGTTGTGTGCAAATTGGCGCCGCTGCAGCATCGCCATCAATTAAACAGGATGTGGTTGCAGATGTTGCTGTTGCTGTTGCGTTGCAGTTGTTGCTTTGTGAATTGACATGCAGCGCCTCGGAGGCGGAGGAATTGTTGCTGTTGCTGCTGCTGTTGTGCTGCTGCTGCTGCTGTTGCAGTTGCAGATGCTGCTGCTGCTGCTGCTGCTGGTCACAGTTGGAGGCAGCAGAAACGGATGGCGAACAGGAATCGATTGTTGTCAACGATTCCTGGCCACAGACGCTGCTGTTGTCGTCGGTTAGGCGCAGTGCCACCTCCAGATCGCGCAGCACATCCGTCTCCTTCTCGTCGATCAGGTTGAAGCGACGATGCAGCGCCGTCAGGTGCATGAACGTCAAATTTAAATGGGTGTGCAAGCCGAGCAGCGCTATTTCTCGGAAATGCGCCGCATACAGATGCGCTATCACATGAAATTGCAAGCGTAAAATCTTCCGGGCGATCGACTCGAACGAGCCGGGAAACTCATTCGCGTATTTGGTTGGAAATATCGATTCATCGCTGACCGTCTTCTGTGTGAAGGTCATCACATAATCGATATACTGCGGTGCCGCGACCCGCGTCTTCTTCCCCTTCTCATCGAACCATAAGTACGTTCTGCAAAAATATATATCATATTAATATAGGGAATTATCCATTTTAAGGTGCTCATTTTTTTGACTGCTCACCTGTTGCCGGGTCCGGTCATGTCGGCGCAACCGGATTGTGTACAAAATTCACTAATAGTTCCATACACCAAATTCACGTGCTCGAAGAGAGCAAGAGCTGTCAATTAGATAAGAATTCAAATTGTGTATTAGCTAAAGTATTATATATATACATATATATAGAGGAAATATACTATTAGCTGACATTATCTATAAACCCCAACAAATACTGGATTTGTTTGCCATGTAAAAGGCAAAAGGATATATTGAAACATTAAAATATATATATATTTATAATCAGCCGATTTGTGCTCCTATCTCAATCCAGACAGATCAAGTTTATTCAATCCGATCGATAACTGCACACGTTTGGCGTATATCGATACTAATCGATAACACACATTTGCAAAGATATTGACTTGCAATTGATACACAATATATACCCTGATATAGGGTATTTCCTCGTCGAGCTGTCTCAACTCGAGCATACTTGTTTAATTTTGCAAATGCATCTATATTCAAATTGTTATTCCTCCACAATATGGGAATGCAAACATTTTCAAGGTCTCGCTGAGTACTTTTCTCTCGCTGCCTGTTGTTTCACAGTCGGGGGAACTGTTTCATAATTAAGGCAAAACTTGGTGTTGACAACCAGCTGCGAGAGAGTTCGTTAAAGTGTTACCGAGTTGATTTTATCACTGTTTAAGGTCAATGTTAACTCAATATTGGCACAAGATAAATTTAAATGGCAAACAGAATCGGAATCGTGGGGGCAATTTGCAAATTACGTCAGCCAAAATTGCATTATGCGCTGCAGGCAAACAAAATGACAAGCAGCAGGGGGTTGGGGGTGGACAGTATGAAATCATCCAGCAATCGCCTAAGAGAATATCATATATATATATATATATAAAGTCAACAGATGACGCCATGTAAACCAAACTCAATTGAAGGAAAGTGTGGCAAGGGTAACAAAAATATAATTTAAAAAAAGAAGAAGAATGTTGGGGGCAGGGTGGAGTGGGCATGTGGCAAGTCGCAAAAGATTTTGTGGCTGGGCATACAATTTGCTGAAACATTGCCAATTATTTACAACACACACTTTAAGGCTGCTGCTGCTGCTGCGGCGGCTGCTGTTAATTTCTATTTGTGTGTTTCGCATTTATCAAAGAGATTAACACAAGATGATGTAATAACCAATAAAACGCCTCAGAGAACAACCCGAATCCAACGAAACATGATAATGACGACGCAGACAATAATGATAATGATGCGCCGATGATGTAAGGCAAAGATTCAAAAAGAAAAATAAAAACATTATAAAAACAACCCCCCAACAAATGACTAACTGCTGAGCTAAGGGTTATATATTTGGATATCATTGTTTAAAACTAAACTCATTTCATTTATGGACAAGATAGAATGAATAGCTTAAGCCTTACATATCTTTGTGGACCATCGTCAATCGACAGCTAGTTGCCATGGCAGCTACATGATATAGTTCTCATATATATATATATATATATATTGAGTGAGTTTGCATATCTTATTCAACAAACAAGATTTTCATACTTTCGATTGATTGTTCCTAAGACAATTAGATGATATAGTAATCGGATCTGGTTGACTTCGACATACGAGTATATGCTACCAGCAGCAATTAGACGAATATATACCAAGTTTCATAAAGATACATATATCGACTCGACTTGTAATGCTGATGGGATCGGCAGAGAACTCATCTTCGACAACATTTTAATACGCTCTGCAAGAGTAGCAACAAATCAACTCAATTTTCAGCTTACAGTTACAAGATTAAACCTTAACAAATAAAATTAAGCTCAGCTGTGTATAATACTTTTTTCAGAGTACAAAATCGGAACATTTTTAAGCTCTTAATTCGAATTGTAATCGGTTGAAGCCAGTTGTATTCGAGTAATCTTTCCGGCTCAACTTCCCGTTTAAATGGATAGCTGTGAAAGTGTGCAGCTGTTGCAGCTTCCTATTGTTGGCTATCAATCAGCACGTATTTGTAAGCCCAGTTAGCTTAATCAGCCTAAACTGTACTCAGTTGTGTACTCTAAAACTAAGTCACGGGGCTCAAATGCCAAATTATCTATCAAATTCCCCACCATTTATGAACACAAGTAGCAACAACAGCAGCAACATCAACAACAGCAACAACAGCAACAACAGCAACAACAGCAGCAACAACAACAACATCTATAATAATAACAAGGCAAACAAAGGCAACAATAAATAGATGAATGCGAAAGCGATGCGAATAAATCAAAAACACGAATATCACGCGAAAAAATGTACAATCAACAAAAAAAAAAAAACAATAATAAAATTAAAGTGAGTTGGGCAAGATAAGCGTGCTTAACAATGGCGATACCCTGTAGATCGAGATAATGTGAGGTGTACACAGGTGTAGACTACACTTCTAATCAACTCACTTTTGGCGGAACTAGATTAGCAGATTGTAGCTGGTAGCATGCTCAATATTCAACTAAGTTTTGGTTACCGAAATCTGTGTTTCTTATATGATCCTAATAAAATTCTTGGAGTTGATCAAGAACATGTCTGAGTATTATTATTATTCTAATTGGGGTGCACCTGCACTGCGACCTACTCGATCTATTGTGCCCCCTTCTGAGCCTATGGTTCCTCCTCCATCAACCCCAGCGAGAACCTTTGTTGGATTGAGGCTGCTGCACCTTCTTCTAGTTAAGGCGCCACAATCAGTATCAATTGTAAGACTTTAACTTTACAAATGACTCCTTTAAAGCTATCGTAAATCGATTAATATCGATATGCGCAAAATGTGTGCAGTTATTAATAAAACTTAAAGAAAACTTTGACTGGTCGATGAGAACTTATACTCTTAATTTATAGACTGTAGTTCTTGGACGAACGTGACTAAATCAACTCGAGTTTTCAAGAATATATAGTCTTTATTCGATCTGTTTTATGCTTGTACACAACTTTACTCAAGTAAAGTGATTAAGTTTTGGGCACTTACTGTGTGAGGCCAGCCATTCATTGTAATCCAAGCCAGCTGGAAGATCGACAAGGGCTTTGAGATCAGCTTCAGGTAGTTTGCGTTCCAAGACGCTCTCCTCCAAATACAATTTGGTATCTGTTGAATTTTGATCGCCATCGCGCTCTTTGCGACGCGCTTTTCTGCAAGACACCAGAGAAAAAGACATAATACAGTCAGTTGAGCAGTTAATAGACAATAGTCATAGTTTATATATATATATATATATATATATATATAGTTAAATGTTTGGTTTAGGCCTATTTAGGTTCTCACCCAGCTACGCATAGAAATGTGTCAACCGAGCCCTGCGCATAGCGATACAGGGTGCCTATGGTGTCACCAATTTTAGACGGTATCGTTGTCACTTGCCACATAAATCGCGCAGTTCTCAACAGACATCTAATCACTAACGATGACGACGAGGCGCTGCCTGCTGCATTCGCTGTGGAGGAGTTGGATGCTGTTTTTCCTGATTTTTCGGATTTTTCGAATTTTTCTGATTTTTCACTTTTACTAGTTGTTGTTGTTGTTTCTGTGGTCGGCGGTTCCCTTTCGGATTCTATTTGCGTTTCAGTTGTTGCTTTTGCTTTAATTTTAAGTGTTTTACTAGTTTCTGTTGCTGTTGTTGTAGTTGTTGTTGGCACCTTGTTGTTTGGCGTTTCTTTCATTTTTTGGGTATTACATTCAGATTGCTTTGCTTGTCATTTTTGCCGCCGTTGGATTTATTTGTTTTTTCTGCTTTTTTTGCTTTTTTTTGTTGCTAATTTAGGCAGAGCGTAAACGTTTAGAAGCCGTAACCGTAACACTCTCTGCTACCTTATCTCGCTCAACGGTAGCGCCAAAATACCAAAATACCAAAAGACCCAAAAAGCGCAACAACAAAAAACCCAGCAAACCCAGCCAAGCCACAAATCGACCGACGCGAACCGTTCACATCGAAACAATGCCACTGAAAAACCCCCATTTGTCCCTGGCTCGGGTTATACATGTATATATATACATATAAATATACACAAATATAAATATAATATATATAATTATATAGCTTATAGTAAGTTCTTGATAGCGATTCGCTCCATTCTCTCTCGCTCTCTCTCTCTGTCTCTCTATAACTCTCTCTCTCACTCCGTCTCTCTTTCGAGGCGATCGCACAAAGACAAACACAAAAGAATACATAAATAGCTCAACTGGCATTTTTTTAGGCGTTAGGTCTATGCGACTAGTAAGGGTATCTTGAAAGGGTACCTTGAAAACTGGCTCAAGGCGTCGCTGTCCCTACCAAGGCGCTATTTAAACGATAACAAATATTTAGTATTACTTAAAACAACTTCTATGATTAACTTTTAAGGCACAGCACAGCATGCAACTCAAAAAACGTTTACGAACGCAACACAAAAAGAGAACAAAAGAATCAAAATGACTCTCCTATGTGAGAATAGTTTGCAAAAGACAGAGGCAAACAGCAGTAGAAAAAGAGAAAGAGAGAGAGAAAGAGAGAGAGAGAGAGAGAGAGAGAGAGAGAGAGAGATAGCGAGAGAGAGCGAGAGAGAGTAGAGGAGATATAAGAAAGGTATATTTTGGTAATACATAAAATATAGTTTAAGAAAGTGAAAAAGAGAAGTGCAAATATAAAAAATAATAATTATAAATTATATGTATTTTATACCACAACTAATATTATCTTACAAGCCAAAAAGGCTGTCCAAAAACTAGAATTTTGCTCCCAACTCGCCACAAAAACTTTGTTCGAGCGAAACCTTTGACATTTTATCTATCTTTTCTGCGCAAACATAACAATAATATTATTAAGGGCGAGTAAACTTTACCCAGCCATACACATGTCTAATAGCGTGATTATCAGATAATATTCTTAAAACTAACACGCTTTCTAAGCGCACCTAGAACAATTAAAAAAGTAAAAATAAAACGAAAAAATCTTTTTAAAAAAATATAAAAACTATTCTTATCAACGTGCAAGAATCAACAATAAAAAATAAAGAAGAAAAAAGTTTCAGAATTCATTTGCATTTGTTAGACTAGACACACACATACACACAGAATGCATAAAGTGCGTGCTTCAACAATGGAGGTGCTGGAGGTGCTCCCAATTGCTCCATTTGCTTAATTGCTACAACTGATAGAGACTGGGTTGGGTTGGCAGGGGAAACAAAAGCGGATCTTTGGGCATTCTAAAAACAACAACAACAACAAGAAGAAGAAGAACAACAATAAATAAAGCCACATATGATAATATTAGTGTGTAGATTAAGGCAACCAAGCGTACTGACCAAATTGTTGCGATAAGAGCATTACTCTTTTGCGTACACTGTGTGTATACGCTACACTGCGAGAAAATGCGCTTAGAGAAGCATAAAGCTTAACTGAATCTGACTGGAACTGTTTGCAACAAGTACAAAGAGTAAATTCAGTCTCGAAATGAGAGTCAGCAGCTTGAGCTGAAAAGAACGCACTACTCTCTCCACTTTTTTTGCCCAGTGTATACATATATATATATATATAGATATAGATTTAGAGGAGTTGTGGCAGGAACGGGTGTAATCAGCATTATTTGCTTGGGTAAGCAGCAGGTGAGCACAACAATCGACTCGTCAGTTCAGTGGCCCACGCAACTCCCCTGCCCCCCCTTTGTGTGTGCCAGGTGATAATGAACATTTTCGCCCCCCAAAATTCGCGCACAAACCAACCCCATTGTCAGTGGGGCACAGCACAAAAAACAAAAGGCAAAAACAACAACTACAAAATACAAAATACAATATACAAAAGATTAAATATTCATGGACAAGGTCGTCGCTCCCCTCTGAGAAACTTGCAGGGCCCCTCTGCCCAGTAAAACACTTAGAAGCGACCCTCGAGCGACCTTTCAATTTCAATTCCAATTTGCAGCGCAGAGCAAATTGCGTGTCAAAAGGCGGCGTTCAAAAGGTCTTCCCAGAATGCTTCAATTTGAGTGAAACGATTGACAGCGAGCAGAGCAGATAAGAGTGGATAGAGGAAGGGGAGAGAAGAGCAGATAAGAGAGAAGAGAAAAGAGAGATTCAATAGACAATTTGTCAAATTAGAGCTTTGAAATATGGGGCAACTGTTGAACGAGTGCAAAATAACTCAATACTCAACAAAATAAAATCAATAAAAAGCACCGCAAGAAATTGCTGCAATTAACGGTTCATTTAATCGATAAACTCAACTATCGATTATAGCAGCAAATGTTTGAGCACAATAATTAATAACTTTCGACAAATTGGGGCACATCTTGAAGTTTCTTTACACTTTTTGGTGTTTAAATTTCCCATTGAACATTTTTAAATAGGTTTTGCTTATCATTCGGTGGTTTGTCGAGCGAACCGAGTCGCAACATATTATTGTTAATATCCTGCTTATCAGAAACACTTTTATCGTTTCCTCAGCTCGTTTGACCAGTACAAAATGATGAAATGATTTTGACAATATGTTGAAATGTGCCAATTATGGTGTGATACTTTATGGGCTCAACCCCAAAGATTAGATAGATGAATTGCAAAATGAGCAACAAGTGCATATATACTTTGATAGTTGCATTAGCACTCTATTTTCTTCGATATGGTTTGCATACAGAATTTTGATTTATATTTGTTTATACTATCTATATTACAAATTCACTGCACATTAATTGGATACACAATAAACGTAAAAACTGAAATCACATTTTTAACACCAGCAGAAAACGTTCCACAAAAAAATAAATAAGAATTTTTGGAACCCAGGAAATGGAGTTGGAGATCATTCTCTAATAACCAAATTTGCCGAGCACATATTCCCTACAGATTTTCCAAATTGATAAATTCTATTTTTATGCATTTTATTTTAATTTACTTATTCCACTAAACGTTTTAATAACTTGGTTTAATCAGTGTTCCACTTATACGGCCAAGTTGACAATGAATTTATTAATGAATGAATCACGAACAACAATCGATTGTTTTAATTCATTGCAACACGTGCCACTATCTCTAAAAACGCGCATTGGGAAACGTGTCCCATCCAAGTAGTAGTTAATAAGAATTATAATACACACAAACACAGACACAGACACACAATTATAGTAGTTATACTGGATATATATAGTGACCTAAAATCGATGGGGCAGAGTAGTCCGTAAATAAATTGGCACGTTAGTCTTTTCAGTCGCATTTCGCAAGAGACTAAAAGCCGCTAAAACTGAAAGCTGAGCGAAACGCAAAAAATAAAAAAAAAAAAAAAAAAAACGTCGCACAAAAGGCGCAAAAAAAAGAATAAAAAAATAAAAAAAAAAAACTTTGCGATAAATACACAATTTTCAACTCATAATTTCCGGATTGCCCAAGCGACCCCCTCCAGCCACTACTTTTCCCCCTAGCAAAACATTGGCTCGTCCATGATAAAGCATTTATTTTGTTTCTTTTTCTTTTTATTTTTTGTGCTGGCAACCCTCAAAAACACTATTTGCAATGCCCCAAAAAGTGTGCAGAGAAATTCATAAATTTCGAACACTTTAGAACCTGTCGCAATTCACTATTTATTACACCCATTGCAAATTGACAAAAAGGGTATGCCAAACTTGTGCATAGGCATGTAACTGACGAAGGAGGGCATCTATGATCAGTCGAGTCGATCGAGGCTTGTCTTAAAGCTATCTTCTTGATGGAACACTATATCATATAGCTGTCAGAGGAACAATAGCTCGACAGCTGAGTTCTTGTATGAAAAACTATTTTGTTGAAATAGCTATGCAAATCAAAATCATTGAACATAAAATGATTGAGATCTGACAACCATTTTATAATGTTGTAATAGCAACAAGCAATCAAAAAATTACTTCTTCTATAAGCAACTATAACAAATTATGCTAATTATTATTATATATAGCTAATATAGAAACAATCTGTCAGATATCAAAAGTATGTATATATATTTGAAGAACTAAGAACATTTTTAACGATTTATAAACGTTGTAAAGATGTTTATCAGGCAAATCAAAATAGATATTTGTAGGGAATGCATACAGGGTATCTTCTAGTCGGGCACTACTGACTAGCAAACACGTGTGTGTTTTTTTATATGTGGCCATATGTAGTTGCTCACACACCTCCAATTGTAGCTACCC